GTAATTAGAGCACCTTTTATACCTTTTAAAGATGTGATTCATTTTTATGGTGGGATTATTATTTATTTTATAAACTATATCTGTGTTGTGTCACTGTAAATGTCAGGTTACATCATTTTAGTTAGACAAACTCAGCTGTGTCAGATGGATCCATTTTATTTCAGTGCTTTAATTTTCATCCACTCACTGTTTCTCTTCTTTTTTATACTAAAGTGAAATTGTCAGAAGTATTGTATGCTCGATCACCATACTTAGAAAAGGATTAAAATAAGATTTTGATGTTCATACTGTATGTGCAGCCAGCATAGATCAGGTACTTGCAAAAATGTGACTTGCTGATTCCTTTTTTATTCATTCTTCAGATGAATAAAAACTCACACATGCTGCACATTTGGTTTTTACTTCCCATATTCCTGCTTGGTTATTCACAGATGTTTCAATGTTTCTTTCTTTCTGGCATTATTTCTTCCTTTTTTCAGATTTATGAAATGCTGCAAAGTAATCATGGATCTTCTAAGTTAGAGACACCAAAGGCATGTAAATAGGCCCAGTATCTACTCAGCAATATTTGTTTTCATTGTTGCCACCAGTAGTTCTACCCAGCAAGCGTTTCATAATCTGAGTAGTCTGAGTAGATTTCATTCTCCGAAATTCCACCCCCAAAACCAATAGAAGATCTGGTTTCTGTGTTGGCTCATACAGCTTATAAACACAGTCTTGAGTTTAGTACTCATTCAGTAGTTCTCATGGAGATTATAACTGTCATTTTGTACAATATTCTTAGAATTTATATAGAAAATGATCAGTCAAATAATTAAGAAGAAAACCAGGAGATTGCAGTGCCACGCACATCGGCTGCTGGTCTTACATCCAGGAAAGAGTTGCTTGTCTGTACTGCTTTAAAATCTTACTCTATGTTTGGTATATATTTTAAGATTTTACATAATGTTTGTTGAAACATAGCTTTTGATCCCTTAGACAACAAAAAATGTATTTTGAACTAAAGAGCTATATGAGTCAGTATTCAGACTCGAGGGAAGACATTTCCAAAATACTCCTAAACACGGTAGGCAAGAATGACTGTTTCCTCACCATGAAATTATTTTCACTAGACACACTATTAGACAGCCACTTTGTAGTGTGCTGCACATTTGTCAGGACACAAAACCAAAATACACTGCCCAGTAGAAGGCTGAGTCAGCACACTGCTCTTACCAAGCATTAGTTGAGTGGAGTGTAAGTAGAAACCAAGCAGTGCCTTCCAACGACAGTGTGAAGGACTGAGTTCTGTTCTATATTTTGATACTGTTCAGCTTAAGCTCCCTTCACATGAACATTCACACACACACACACATCCATACATCCGTACAGGAACTCTTAGAAACGCTATCACCTGCAAAATCCTCCTGTAGCTTTATGAAAAACATTTGAATACAATACTAATGCATCTCTTCACTACACATTGACACACAAATATCCGCTCTATGCAGCTGTCCACGTGATCACCCTTGTTTTGTAGCCCTAATATCCTCATCATACATATACATATAAAAGGATGAGATGGAGAGAGAGAAGAAGGTGGGAAGAGAGAGGAGAAAAGTGCTTGTTTGTGTGTCTTCATTTGCATGTGGTTTGAATGATTAAGTGTGAGTTTCCTGTGGTCAACCCCTCTGATTTCAGACGCTCATTATCTCCCCCTCTCCCTCGCTCTGTCTTGCCTTTCTCTCTATCTCTCACTGTTCTCCCTCAGCACTGTCTTTTTCACCTTAGAAATAGAGGTTGCCTAGCAACAACCCCCCTACTCAGTAGGGCAATGGATCCCTTCCTAATTGTAGGTGTGTGCATGGATGTGTGTGTGTGTATTAATGTGTGGGAATGTCTGAGTACAGTGGTTTCTTTGTAGATGCACGAGGACGGGGAAATAGATTCTGTTTCAGCATCCGATAAGCGAACTCGTTCTTTGCTCCTTTCTTCTTAAAACAATAGCATTTTATTATGACACGTCTGCCCTTGCCTCTTGTCTCTCTTTCCACTAGACACTAGACACGTTAGTCAACCACTGGCAGTTACTCAGGGAAAATCTGCTCACTCATTGGCCCCCTCCTGGCGATACAGACAGAAATCCAGCCAACCAGCTCTGTCCAACAGGGAGACAGACAGACAGAAAGTGAGGAGGGAGGGCGCAAGCTATAAGGGACAGACAGGGAGGCAGGGAAAGAAATAGACACGAGCATGTAACAGACTAAAGGAAGAGCCAGAGAGAAAGAGCAGACGGGTGGTGCGGAGAGGACAACGGAGCCAGAAAGACAGCGAAGATGCTGTCGTTTAACCTTTGTCCTTTCGCTGTGTCAGACCAGACGTCCCCTCTGCGAAGGAATCAGCCGCAATTACCGACCATCAATCAAAAGCTCCGTGTTTTATGCGTGTGCATTTGTGCTGGCTTGTTAGCTATTGGTCCTGTATTCCCCTCCCACAATCAACATTTCTGAAATAGTTTTAGGCTGGGGTCACACTTCACTGTACTGCCCAAAAAGGCCAGCCTGCTGTGACTGTTGCTGTGTGTCGATGTCCTTCTGCGCACCCCAGTAGTGCACTGTTACGTGGAACTCGGCCTCAACATTATGGGTGTTTTTCATGGTCTGCGAGTTCTCTAAATAAACGGTGAATTCTTTGATTCAGTTTATACATCAGATCTAAAATAGCCATTTCCAGTAGATAATCTGAAAATGTAAAACACACTCAGAGTTCTTTGTAATTCTAATTACATTTTCTCCTCTCCATCTTTTTTTCCTTCTTTACCTCCTCCTCTCTCCTCTTTCATCTTTCGATACATTGACACACACCTTACATAACAATAGCCCATGCACACATCCATTATAGCCAGCTTATTAATTATGTATTTGTCCCAAATGTATCAAATGTGGCACTAATTCATTGATTTTGACAAGGTTAATAGAAGAGGAGAGACGATGGAGAACTGAGACGTCGCTCTCACACATTAACGCACACACATACATCATCCGCAGCACCTTTTTACAGCACGTTGTGGCAGTCTGTCTGTTGTCTTTTTTTTGTTGTAAAAAACCAACAAACAAAAGAGCATGGTAATTCTGTATTGTCTCTCACAATCCCACAAACAAGGCAGAGAGCTTGAGCACAGCGAAGAGTTGGGAGGGAAAATCGAGTATATTGATTCAGGAGGAAGTTGAGAAAGTAAGGGGGTTGAAAAGGAAGACGCACACAAAGGCATGAAGAAATCAGAGAAAGACCGCAGCGAGAAAGTGAGTGAGTGTCTGAGCCAGAGACAGGTGAAAACGAGTGAGTGGTGGAGCGAGAGTAAACAGAAGGCTGAAGTATCAAGGTGACTGTCTGCCGGGTTGTTTGGCAGGGTGTGCGGCTGACAAGAGCTAGAATGGGTGGAAAGAGCGGAGCTGTGAGGGGATGAATGAAGCAAAGAGACTGCATTAATTAAGATTTTAGCAACGTCCTCAACTCTCATCCTCGCTGTCTGCATTTCTCACCCCTCAATACCTTTCAATTACGTTTGCTCTACAGTAATCGTCAGTTGTGGTTGTTTGGACAGTAAAGAGGTGCCTGGACAAATTCTGGGTGTGGAAAATGAAAGAACAAGTCGACAGTAAACATGTAATCCTGCAAAAAAAAATGCAGTCGCCTTTCAGGCCAATGAGTGGCACTTATGTCACCTTTTTTTGACCTGTAATTGTAGCGTCTCCCGTGGACTTGTATGTAATTAGAAAAAAAAAAAAACTAGAATGCAGTTGTGAACACACAAATTTGCAAAGAGACAGTTTTATAACACTGAATATAATTACAGGCCGTTAGCTTACTAACTGTTAGCTTAAAATAACACAGTATTCAACCATATTGAGCCTTTCTTGCTCTCCCTTTGACTGTTTCTTTGTCTTTCAACCCTTTACACACATACACACACACATACACACACACACACTGGTCTCAGGACATCCTGCTGTCTGGGTACCCTGTTTACCACCTGGATCACAAAAACAGGATATGTGTGTGTGCATGTGTTTCACTGTGTATGTGTGTATGTGTTAAAAGGAGCAGTTCCACCTTACCCAGACCACACAGGAAGGGCAGAGGGGTTGCCATAGCAACATGCTGTTCAGGTGGTTGTCAGGTGATGACAGCATAGAAAGGAGGATGGAGGGATGAGATGTCCTATAAAAAGAAGGGAGCCGGGGAGAGAGGATAGCGAGAGAAAGACGGAACGGAATGAGGCAAACGAGAAGCAAAATGTGGAGGAGAGAGGCAAACAGGGGAAATAGAAGAAGAAGCAGTCAGACAGGGGAAGGGGGGAAATGAACGAGCATCAGAGATTCTCCCACGTCGGCCAACGGCACCTCAGTGAAACTGTCACAAATCAGTCACTCGGTGTGCTTCTCACCATTCAGTCATTGCCAAGTTTAGCTGTCATTGCTCTTGCTCTTGGTGACGGGCCTGTCACCAAGGACTCATCTAAGAGGCTTTAAGTTGTGTGCTGGCATTAAAAAGAGGAAGAAAGGCCAGGAAGTGGAGGTTTACCGTAATTTGTCGGATGGGGTCGCTATGAAGATATATGAAGACAGCATCACTCCCACTACTTTATGTTGTGGCTTGTGAAGATGCTCCCACGTTATAAATAAAGGACAGATTCACATTTTCAAGTCTGTAATACCCACATGCCCATATGTTGTTCCACTGAGATACCCATAGTTATTGGTTGCTGCAATTATTCCTCTGGAAATACTGGCTGTGAAAAGATCCCTCCCTAAGACTATTTCAATATAAGACAAAATCCACAGCCCTTGTTGTTCAGTGTAAAAATAAGTTCAAAATTTTAGTGTAGGCACAAAGGCTGGCTAGTATCAGAAATGTTCTGCTCAGAAATAGCTTTCAAGTCAGCTCCATAAAGACTATTTAGAAAGTTAACAGCATTGTTATTTTTAATTGGATCATTCAATCTATTTGCCCATAGTGAAACTTGATTGATCAATGTTATATAGATATAAGTTTGTAACATATATTGAGGCAGTGGGAGATTTGTGTCATTTGCCTGTGGAGATTATGGTTCACCATGTGCGCCAGATGAAAAAAAACTATTAAATTAAATTAAAAAGTCAGAGCAAAGTGCAGTGGGCTCGTATTCTCTCAGAGTTAATGTGGATTGTTATATTTAAAAAAAGGGAAGTGGTTCTCTTCTAGATGAGTGACGGCCATCAAAGACCTGTCAGTATGAACAGGAGGACTGATTACAGCGACCAATAATGTACAAGTGTGTTTTCGGGGATTTGAGTAATTATCAGACACCCTCATACAAGAGAGGGAAGGGAGCGTTGTGGTGTGGAAGTCAAGTTGTCAAATCAGTTGTCCTGTCAGCCTGCCAGTTCACAGTCAGTGGCTGTCTCAGCTGTCAGTCACTGTCCTCACCTAACCCCCCCCTCACACACACAGCACACCAACACACACACACACACATATATTTTACACATGAACACACATAAATGATCTCTGTTTATACAGCAAGAAGGCAATTAAATCCCTGGCACTTCTATTGCAATTTTAATGTTGCGTGTCTCTCCAGCTCCACTTCACACACTCTCCGCTCTTTTTCTAACAAACACACTCACACAGTCTCACAGTCTTTCATCAAAACCATCCACACCCACTCCGCCCTTCCCTAGAGAGCGAGAGAGAGAGAGAGGTTGACTATTCTTGAAGCAAATGTGTTTCCTCATGCGTTGGACAGGGCAGTTTCTGTACCATGGCCTTTTTTTTTGTGCATGTGTGTGAATGTTCTTTTTTCTGGTATTTCACTATAGCTTACGTCTGGCTGACTTTGGCTAAACATTTCCTGAGTTAACCAGTACAGTTCATCAGAAGTAGGTTACCTCTTCTTAACATAAGCTACGTTTATCTTCATGGCAGGTCTGATGCAGTATGACTCAAAGTAGCTCAGACCTACACTCGATTTAATCTGTTTCAAAATATTTACTCCACTGGCCACCAATTTACTCAAACAGGAACACTACGGAGGTAAGGGGGAGTTGTTCTTACGTTAAGCCTGGCTCTTCCCTTCTTTTCTACAGCGTTTAGCTGGTGGGCGCCAAGGGTCACTGGCCCACTGTCTCCCCCAGGACAAAAACGTGTGTGTCAGCTGGAGGTAACCCGAATTTCAGGTCCAGGGAAAAAAAACAAGAAAGAACTGGTAGATGTTTTTTTTTTTTTTTGATGGCCTCATTCACCATCTGTGTAAGGTAAAAAGGGCACAATGAGAGGGAGGGAGGAGTGGAGAAGTGAAAACAAAGACAACCAAACAGCTTGGTATTAGAGAGCGGGAGAGTGGAGAGAAGATGGAGATGTGTGGCAATTAATGCTGAGGCCAGGGTTAGGATGATGAGAGGAGTGATAGTATAACACTGGAAAAATAGGCCTGTGAGAATCATAGTGTTAGAAATGGACAGTGAAGGCTGGAGAGAGACACAAGCGGAGAGCTGATAACAGAACTGAGAGACCAGATTTACATGCAGATTTTTAGAGAAGAGCGATGAAACAGATAAAGGGAAGAATGTGGCTTGGAGGAATGGAGTATCAGTGTGTCCCTAAGCTGACTGGGTTGTTGTAGTTCGGGTTTGCTAACAACTGTTTTATTAATGAGGATTTGCTCTCCCACCCACCCCTACACACACATGCGCAGTCATCCGCAGGCACACAGTGGCAGTGTGTCTGCGAGTTGTCACTGCTGACACAGTGACCCAGTCCAGAGGATGTAGGTTACCCTTTCTTGCAGCCCTTGGGTTTCTGCTCGTACTCACAGGAGGTGACTCGGGATTCACAGTTGCTGACGCACAGCCGATCCATTTTATAGTGGTATTGTTTACTGAGTGCAAAAGCCATTTTTGGCTGTGTATGTCAAACTGAAATATAATGACAAAAGATGTTCAAAAGACAACGGTACTCGTGAGGTTACAGGGCCAGAACGAAGTCCACATCAGCCATAATAGAGCTGTTCACAATGTGCTAGTTAAGTGCTAATGTGGTTCCCCTTACCATCCAGAGAATAATGTAGAAATATGTACAGTATGTAAAGTAGAACCTGCTTCCGGCCTATTCCTTACCTTAAAATCTCTGTATGCAGTCTTAAAAAACGTTATACCGTTGCCAAGAAAAGCAATAGCTATCTGTTAAAAATCATATGAGCCTTTACACTTAGACACTTAGAACAAAGCTCAACAGTGGATCTTCTGTTGTGGATCAGTGCACAAGGTAGATTGAAATGCAATACATATGCGTCTATCTAAGTTAACAGTTAATTCACTGGCGAAACTCTCCTAATATTGGTTAGAATTACAGGAAGGTTTCAACAGATTAATTAAACACAGACTCCTTTTTTCATCTGGCAAGGGCTCATGGTGTAAGTGCATTAATGCACTCCAAGATATATTATTTGACTCAATACAGCTTCATGTTGTCTTGTTCATGCTTCCACCTTCCTTACATAATATTAGGTGTCTCTCATCTCTGACAGTTACTGTGAATTGGATACAGTACAACCTAGTCAGGAAACAGGAGATATAATCTTTCTTTGTGCCTCATCTTTACACTTGTGCTTTCAGGCTCTGCAGAAGTTAGCGAGCCAGTACCTAAAGAGAGACTGGCCCGGAATCAACCCTGATGACCAGAGAACAGACTATAGGTAGGTGTGTGTATGTGTGTGTGTGTGTGTGCAGTGTAAGTATACAGCCACACTGCCAATAAAACACAGCATGAAACTATTGTTGGTTTTGTAACAGTTGCAGCACTGGGATGAAAGCCAAATATTGTGCTCTGCCGGATTTCCTCCAAAATTCTCGAAAAAACATAATATGGTCTACAGCACATATATGAGTCATTATTGACTGTAACAGAAGCACTGAAATACAAAACCTCAAGCTGAATCCAATTTATTGGGAAAACCAGAAATGAAAGCATTAATTCCGCACTCTCCGCGGTTTCACAGTTTTCTTGGTTCCAGCACCTACTGGAACATTTCTACACAAACCTTTACCCCCTTCCAGGTGCATGCACATACAGTTTGTCAGACTCACAGTGGCAAATATACTAGTGGTGTAGGGGAATATAAAATTCAGCCACTCTGCAGGACAACTTTATGGTTTTCTAGCCAATTGCTCATGGGAGTCCAAGTTATAGAACAGCAACCATTCAACATTTTTTGTGCTTTTTCTCTCCAACTAGGAATGTGTATGCAGTGTGGAGGTCCTACTTAGAAGGTACGGTGCAGGTAAGCCAGTCCAGGCTCAACGTGTGTGATAACTACAAAAGCCAAGTATCAGAGCCTGCTAAGACTGTTAGACTCTACAAGGAGCAGCAGCTCAAAAAGGTGAGCAAATGTGTGGACTGCGAGAGTTAGTCATAGTTTCCCGAAGCAATCCTTGTTCTCTACCCCTCTCTGTAACATCCTCCCATGTACTCACATTGAGTTAACGTGACTCATTCCGGTCTGCTCGTTCTTTTTTTCTGTTCTTTTTCCCTTCACAGACCATAGATCAGTTGAGCGGCATTCAAGCCGAGCTGCAGGAGTCGGTGAAAGAGTTGGCCAAAGCCAAGAAAAAATACTACGACTGTGAGCAGGTTGCCCACGCTGTACGAGAGAAGGCTGACATAGAGGCCAAGTGAGTTCACCATGGCGCTGTGCATGTGTGTGTGTGTTGGTAGGGATGTGCGTAAAAATATTTAAAAAAAATGCTCTGACTAAACAGATGGCACCCATTGTCAGAAAGAATACCATCAAGAAAACAAAGTTGGTTAACCTCACAGAGAGAGTGTGAGTGTGTGGGTGTGAGAGATAGAGAGAGAGGGAGAAACATCATCATTAAGGCTGAAAGAAGCAATTACATACAGTATATATGGTGGTGTTTATGAGAGTCAGACAAAGAAGATACAGATAAAAAGCGACCAAAACACCACAAGAGCATAAGTACAGAAATGTCTGTAGACAATAAAAATACGCGTTTTTATTTTTCTCAACTGCAGATAATATCTCTATCAGATATTATTTGAAGCCTTGCGGTACCGCGAATAGTACCAAAGTTTGATCCAGAGCTGATGAGTGTTGCCCCCC